GGGGGCTTTGGAAGGGGGGGGGGGGGGGCTAGAGCAGCAGCCCTTACGATAATTTGCTGATAATCACTCTTTTTTCAAAATCATGCACACATTTATCATTTAAATAATATACTTTTAAAATACTGACAATTGATTAATTTTAAGCGCCTACATTATCCATGACAACCCGCAAAGAATCATATTACCCTTACTCTTTCCTGCAACTTCTCCAGTGTAAAGTTAATTAATTGCGCCTTCGCCCATTTAGTACTACTAAATTGTAAGCAAATTGTAACAGATTTCAACATACTAAAACTCTATTAACAACTCGAACAGTCGAACCGACTTGACCACGTAGCTCAGTTGCATATGACAGAGCATTGGACTAGTATCCCAAAGGTCGCGGGTTCGAGTCCCTCATTTCCGCCGTGGCCAAGCAAATTTTCAGCTTGCCCGGTGTGGATGCACACTCAGAGTAACATCACAAACATCATATTCACCTGAGTATATAACACCGACACACACACAAAAATTATATCATAAATTACACTGATATCGAAGGAACTAGATTCAGTTCCAAAATATCAAGAAATCGAACCAACTTGACCACGTAGCTCAGTTGGCAGAGCATTGGACTAGTATCCCAAAGGTCGCGGGTTCGACTCCCACCATGGCCAAACAAACGTTTCACCCGGTACGGTGTGAATGCATACTCGGAGTAACATCACAAATATCATACTACAACTTTGTTTTCAATTCTGACCATCAGAATTCTGTAAAAACTTCCCCCAAAGTCCAGGAGGTGGCATTTCAGAGAATCTAAATTTAAAAATTTCCTCGGGCCTTCGGCCCTCGTTCCCACCCCCAATAAAAAATAGCTTCCTACGGCACTGCATACTTCTGTAATATGTCTGTGCGTTGCACCTTGTATGTTGCATCTTCATTTTCCGGATAGAAAACACTTTTGTGGCTTCGTACGCCATGAAATATTCGGAAATTTTTTTCGTCATTCCGAAATTTTTGGCTTACACCCCAACCCTATACATGCTAGCTACGGCCCTGGAGAGGCGATTTAATGCAGATATTCTGAGAATGAAACCACCTCCCACACAGCACACAAACAATGCTGCGTTTATCAATGGCTATTCCACAAAAACATGCAGAGCATATTTTTTTGTTTATGTTTATAGAAGCCATTTATTTTTTTAATCAATTAGATAATAAAATGCGTATTAAATATAATTGAGCGATAATACCTTTAATTATTATGGGGCATAAACTCCACATTGTTAATATAAAGTTTGTCACGAACCAAACGCACTCTCTGCTTTGCCGCCTTTGCTCTCCTCATCTCAGGGTAGAGGGTCTGACGCACTTTCTCAATCTCTTCGGTAAACTGTTCGGAGATACCGATCTTTGTTCCCCTTCATTTTTTCGCATTGAAGCGAATTTTCTCCCGATCGGGGAAAAATTAAATCAGTTTGCAACGATAGCTCTCAGTTTTCTGCGGCCATCACGTTTCCTACCAACTCTGTGCCCTCGATCGATCTTGATGCTTCTTCTTGCTTCTGGCATATCAAGTTTTTCCTCCAACAAGCTATAGATCACTTCAGTGCAGTCTTCCTCTTCTGCTTCATCAATATTGTGGAACAACAGGTTGTCCCGCATTGATCTCGCTTTGAGGTCGACCACACTGTCGTGTAACCGCCGATTCGAATCTTCCAGTTCCTTTATCCGCGAGTAGTTTTCTCGCTCCTTCTCCTTTCTTTTCACCATTTCCTCCTTCAAATCACTAATTTCTGCATGCGCAAACTCGATTGATTCTGTTAGGCGTTTTACATTTTGCTCAATAGATAGTGTACGCTCATTAATCAAATCGAGCGTCTCTAATTTCACTAGCACAGTCTGCATCATTTTGTAAAGCTCGTCAATCTTGCTCATTTCGTCTATACTTTCTATTTTTGTTTCCTTCATCGCCTTTGGTGTCACATTATCTGTCTTTTTAGCTATATTTGGTGAGTTTTGGACAGATTTTGCAAGTTCTTGCGCACTGCCTCTCGAAGGTTGTTGTCTCTTCGACATGATATATGATATGATATGATTCGACATGATATATGATATGATCTGGAACTACTGTCCAACTTCTGACAATCTAGCAGACATCCTAACACGAGGAATCTCGGCAGTCGACCTTTCTAAGTCTAATTTGTGGACCCATGGGCCACCTTAGCTAACCAAGCACGACCACTGGCCAGAATGGAAACCTAGCAACGTTCATCTGCAGTCCTCTTTCGCAAAGATCAAGAAACGAGCGAAGTCACTGCCGAAGTTACCGACACGTCTACAAATGCCAGCATAATCCAGATTATTCCTCCGACAAAATTCAGCAACTGGAACGACTACTGCGAATTACAGCATGGGTACTTCGCTTCGTTAATGCTCTGAAAAAAGGCAACGTATGTAACGGAAAACCACTAAAGGTTCACGAAGTTGAAAACGCGAGAATTGTTTGGATACGGGAAATCCAAAACGATGCCAAAGGTAACGAACTGGCCAACATACAAAAGCCGAAAACCTCTTGTCTACCCCTTGTACGTCAACTTTGCCTGTTTATTCTGGAAGACGACATCATTCGTTGTGGGACAGAATTCACAATGCACCAGTGGAACGTTCAGGAAAGTTTCCCATACTCTTACCCCCAAACCACCATTTCACCTTGCTGGTTGTCAACGATGCACACGAGAAACTACAACACTCTTGATTTAACCAAATCCTGACACAAATACACCAGAGGTAATAGATTCCAACAGCTCGCCAGTACATCAAGAAACTACTTCGTAAATGTGTAACGTGTCGAAAGGTCTTTGAAACACCATACAATTCCCCTGACCCACATCCACTTCTATTCTATAGAATGACTGGTTCCCACCCATTCACTGTCACAGGTGTAGACTTTACCGCAGCCATCTGCTGTAACAAAATTTTAGTTGTTTAATTTAAACAGAGAAAATATTATAAATTGGTATTGTTAGTATAAACCATTGGTATAAACTGATTTACGAAATCACGGCATTTACATGGATAACGTAAACAAATCGTAAATCGGTAAATGTTTTTCGCATTATTACTTCTCAGAGCCGTTGCAGTAGGGGGAGGGGACTGGGGGAAGCAGCCCTTACAATAACTTGCTGATAATCATTCTTTTTTCAAAATCATGCACACCTTTATCATTTAAATAATATACGTTTAAAATACTGACAATAGACCTTTGCCCTTTTGAGTGAAAATTTGATCTAGACAGGTCTGGACAATAATTTCATCACAGCTTGAAAGAGCATCACAAAATTAGTAATATTCCGAAGTTTCGTTGCAAAATGTTGTAAAATACGGATAATATAGCCTTGCGAAATTTGCCGTTTTTCAGTCACTTTGCATTACAAACGGGAAATTGATAATCAGATGACATCATCCATGACAAACCACAAAGAATAATATTACTCATACTCTTTCCTGCAATATATAAAAACCGACTTGACCACGTAGCTCAGTTGGCAGAACATTGGACTACTACCCCAAAAGTCGTTGGTTCGACTCCCTGTCCCACCGTGGCCAAGCAAACGTTTCAGCGTGCCCGCTGTTGATGCATACTCAGAGTAACATCACAAATACATACTAAAACTCTGTTTTCTGACCATCACAATTCTGTAAAAATTTCCCCCAAAGTCCACGAAATGGCATTTCAAAGAATCTAAATTTAAAATTTTCCAGCTCCCAATAAAAAGAGCTTTCTACGGCACTACATGCTTCTGTAATATATCTTTTATCTTTGTTTAAACTATGTGTATTTTTGTTTGTAAATTACATCTTTATTTTCCGGATAGCAAATACCTTCGTGGCTTCGTATGCCATGAAATATTCGGAATTTTTTATCGTCATTCGGAAATTTTTGGCCTACACCCCACTATACGTGTTAGCTACGGCCATGGTCCACCTCGTAGTAGTCACAAATTTAACTGTTCCGACCTTCATTTCAGCCTTTCGAAGATTCGCACGGCGCAAGTCCTTACCAAAAATTGTGGTGTCAGACAACGTATCAACGTACCAATCTCCAGTAGGGTTGGAAACGAATCTCAGTAAACGAGGAGTGCAGTGGAAATTTATCCCAAAACAAGCACCATGGTACGGTGGTTTCTGGGAAAGATTAATTGGTCTGACAAAGAACTCCTTGAAAAAGGTTCCCGGAAAGGCGAACGTCACTTTAGAAGAGCTCCAAACAATGAATCCGAACCTAGTAACATTGACATCCAAGCAAAATTGAGAACAAACCTACTAATGCAACACTTTGGAAACGTTGGCGTCAAGAATATCTGAGGTGCTTACGGGAATTTTATAAAACCACTGGGAAAAATTCAACCGAGATACGTGTTAGTGATGTGGTGCAACTACACGATGACACGAAACGTGTTAATTGGAGACTTGCTGTTGCACAAAGTTTAATCAAGGGAAAAGACGGACTAGCACAGGCAGCAAATATCAAAACAAGTACTGGACATACGAACAAACCAGCAACTAAACTGTACCTACTCCAAGTTAAGTCGAACTCCACAACAACAGAGAAATCAATGATCACCATTGACGGAACCCTAGACGCAAAGAAACCCTCAACAAATCCTCACCTAGCTGACGTCATAGATCAAAAGTCAAACAGACCTGTTCGAGCAAAAGCACGATTGGCAAAGAAAAAATTGAAACAGTGGTCATACATACTCTCGCGCCCCCCGGAGGATGTCGAGAATTGACAGTACTTTTAACACTATAAATATCTTGCACGCATTCTAATAATATAACAGTTCATTATTAATATCTTATATCGGACATGGTTGGCTAATTAAACTTGGATAGAATTACACTTGCACTAGGATAACTGGGACATTCAGGATAATTATTGATAATATGTTTTTGTTGTATAGAGTTTCGAACTCGCTTTTGATCTTGTGTTAGTGTAAATAAAACATTCAAATTGTGGTGTGGATCGTCCTTGATTCTATCGAAAGAACCTATACGCTATATTAGATCTCGATATCGTCCTAGACAAGTTAACACAACGCAAGGCAACACTATAACTTATTTCGAATTAATGACGAACGAGATAACAGCAACAACTACTGTACAGGGGCCCTATAGCCTACAACTAGAAATTATATTTTGAAAAATAATTGTAGATTAAATTCTTATACAAACCTGTAGGATTTCTTTAATGATATTAATTGTGCCAAAAGCAAGGGTTATAAAGGACATTGCATACATTCCAGGTGATTTTAAATTGTAGGAACCTGACAAAGACACAGAATGAAGTTTTTGTTACTAATACAATTGATAGTATTTTTTAAAATAAATTACTTATAGCCGTATTTCTATAACTCCATTGACACATATGGAAATTTGCCGCCTTATTTTTAAAAGCGCACGGTTGGGCAAAAATGTTAACAGAAATTCTACAAGAAATATTGACAACGGAGTTGTGTAGCCGTGCGCGAGATAAAACGTGAACATTGGATAATTGTCTTGAAGACTATGTGGTTTATTATTGACGTCGTTGAACTGTGGGAGTAAAGAAAATTGATTGTTTGTCTTTTAATAATAAAACATTTTATAGCCTGTTGCTAATTGAATTATT